ATATTCTTAACCCTGCCCGTTAAGGGTAGCGAAAATAAAATCTTTACAGACAAAATCAGCTATAAAGTTTTATTTACAAAACAGTAAACACTTCTTTATTGGAAAAATAACTGAACAAATGAAACAAATGCAAACAGATTAAGACAGCTTTCAAGGTTTTCATCATTTCTTCTACTTTATTTTCACAAATTAGCTAAAATGATTTGCGATCTCCTCTTGTATTTATTTTTATGGTTGAACATGACATAAACACAGATTACTTTGGTATCTGCTGAAACATAAATGATAAAGTTACTAAACAAAAGTTGAATAAAAAGTAGGCTGGGTGTTCATTAAAAGCAAAACAAAATAGGACTTTCTAGTCACAGAGGACTTATCATTTTTCTTTGTTTATATGAAAATATGCAATAGGAAATTACCCATGTAAAAACATTTTTAATGTTATAGCTCTATCATCAAGTTTAGCAAAATGCTTAGTTGATAATACATTACTTTCATGCAGAATTAACACTTTGTCTAAAATGGAAAAGAGGTAGTCATATCTTTGTATTTAAACACTTTAAAATATAAAAATTTCAGTGTAACAAGAAATTTTATAAAGTAGTGTTCTTTCAATATTTCAGATTTATTACATTCAAAATAACTCATTTTTGACAAGTTAAAAGATGCTGCTTAAAACGTATTCAGTTTATTTTATAAGGAGTTATTTTAATTACTTTTAACTAATAATCTTAAGAAAACTAGAATACCTATGTTTATAAGCATTTCTGTACTTAGACTAAAAAGTCCCAATGACTTAAATGCACTTATAGATCCTCTGTTCACTAGAAGGAGCAACCCAACTATGTGTTAAACAGGCTCTTACAAAAAGTTAGGGTTACAGTAGCCTCCGACAGCAAAAACAAAACAACAAAAATCTCAGAAATGAAAACCGGGCCAATCAAAGGAAAATCTCTGTATTTTCAGACATTCCAATATAAAACATGACCTGCACCTTCCAGCTACATATTTCATGTTAGATCTCACTGCTGTCAGGAGCCCAGGGAGCACAGGAATGCGCAGCTCCTCTGGCATTCTGTTCTCACCTGCTAATCCACCTCTGAAGCTCCGTAAACATTTTCGTGGGAGGATTTTTTTCTGCCCAAAGCAAGAGCCAATGCTTTACAATCCAAAACATATTTGAAAAAGTCTAGTTTTGAAGCATTCTCTATTAATTTAAAAGTGAAACTCCAGGCTCATTTTTATTTCTGACATATGACAAAAATATGACCATATTTTTAGTTTTGATCTAAATCTATATAAGAATGCCATTTAGAAATTAGTTAGCAAACAAGTCCTTGCCCAAGATGAAAGTATTACATTTTATTCTTGGTTTTAACATCTAGAAGAAAACTAAAGTATATAATGTGTTCTAGATTTAGAATTCTGTGATTTTTTTTTTTTTTTTTTTTTTTTTTTTTTTACGGGGTAGGGACAGGGTCTCGTATAACCCAGGCTGGACTCCAGCTTGCTATGTAGCTGAGGATGACCTTGAACTCCTGATCTTCCAGCCGCCACCTCCTGAGTGCTGGGATTACAGGCATGCATCATCACTCCTAGTGCTGGGTATTGAACCCAGAGCTCCATGCACAACAGATGCATCCTCTACCAACTGGGTCACATAGCTCCCATTCCCCACCTCTTAGTGCTACAGGGCTTCCCTGTAGCCCCAGTTGACCAGGAACTCACTATGTGGACTAGGTTAGCCTCGATCTCACAGAGATCCTCCTGCCTCTGCCTCCCAAGTGCTGGGATTAAAGGTGTGCACCACTATTCCCAAACTCTGTGAAATAATTTTATGTGGAAAAAAATTAAACATAGAATTTATCTGAAAAGAAAATCTTTCATAGAGAACCCAACTTACAAATATTCACATTTTTATAAGATTTATATACACAATAGCACAATTTTATTCAAACTGTATGGGGAAGAATTGCTAGGGGAGATGAGGGTATGGTGAGTGACTATGATTTTCTGACCATTCACTAGGCACTACATAACTAAAGGAAGATCATTACTCCTCTGTCACAGATGATTTCCTGGATTTCAGAACAAGGTCCTTAATGGATAAAGACAGTTCTTGAAGCTCTTTCCGAGTAGTATTGGTGACATCTTGCTGTTCTTTGTCTAATCCATCACCCAAAGGACCTTCTCCCTGCCCACTCTTCTTATTTTGACTGACTAACTGTTTCACAACCAAACCTTGATACTTCACCAAGAGAGTATGCTGATCCTGTGAAAAGAAAGGAAAACATGTATCACACAGATGTGTAACACACATCTTTCTGTGAATACATGAAGGAGGATTTGCTGAGCAATACAAATTGAAAGGCCTCATCTTTAGAAAAGAATGGCCATAGAGGTAGAAAGCTCAATCTGGCAAGCAAGGTCTGTGATCTCCAGGAGTTAGTGGATTAGGGGAAATAAAACATGTGCACATCACTGTTATGGAGGCTGACTTAGCTAGGTCCAACCACCAAAAGATACAAAGTAATAGAGGTTCAAAGAAGTCAAATCACTCTGAGCTAGGGGTTGGGTTCCTTTGGTGAATTTGTATAGGATAGGACATTTGAACTGATCCTTGGAGGCTACATTAAAACAAGGATGATGAAACACAAGTGCTGGTCTTCTTATATCTTTTCTAAAAGCCTAACTTCTAAAATCAGGGTATTCTTCTCCACAGATCATACAAAATTGAAAAAGATTCTTGAATTATACTAAATTAAAAAAAAACAAAAACAAAAAACAAAACTCAGCCCATAATTCACTGTCCCCATGCTGGAAGCAGACAGGTGTTAGTGGCTTTTTTTTTCTTTCTTTTTGCCTGAGAATTTGCAATGATTCACATCTATCCACTCAAAATATTTCAAGTTTAAAAGCTTGAAACTTTCAAATGTATTAAAAATGCAATACCTCTGGGATTTTGTTATTAAGAAAAGCAATGATCTGTGGGACACATCTTCCAGGGGCATGAAGCATGCTGTGGGTTGAGAACTGAAATAACAGGACCGACGTGAGATGCAGAATAAGAGCAGGGTCTTCCGTGACTTTCAGCTGTTCAGCCAGTGCCTGCCGATGCTGGAATAGTATCTGCCTAAACAACAATAACATAAATGCATAATTTAACAAGGACTCACTAAATGATTTCTCTTTAGTATTCATTTTTTAGCTTCTCCAGTTTAATGATACTACATTTTAAAGCATTGTTTAAATATGGGACACACACACACACACACACACACACAAACACACACATAGCTTTAACATTACTAACATGCTAGGAAATTAAAGACAGAGTTTACAGTGAATTGCTGAGGATCAAACAGAACTATATTAATTTACATAGGATCTCCTGGAAGGAGGTCACAAAGCTAATCATCTGGGAGATCAGGGAACTGAATAAACTTGCAAATCTGCAGACGTGTAAATACAGCTCTTGGTGCAGGGTTCAGACAGTCGCATTCCCATTCCGTTTTAGGAGCGGCACTACAAGAATAAGTCAATGTTACCTTTCCCTCTTTTTGTCTCCCTTTTTCACCATGATATCACAAGCTTCTGTTGCAGAATCCAGACAAGAGAGGAAGTCTTCGATACTCTAAAGATATTTTAATACCACAATTTACTTTTATTTACATGTACCTAAAAATAGATCCCTTAATTTGTCTTGTAATTTTATACTCCAAACATAATCTTTAAAAGGGTATTCATCTTCTTAAAGAGAAACTGTGATTTAGGGCTAAAAATGTTAAATGCTCCCACCCTCCTTTCCCGTCACCTCCCAAAGATGTACCTGAACACACAATCCTAGTTTTAGACTGGATTTATAATTATTTTGATTAAAGATGTATTAAAGTTCTATCACATACAAGTTCTAGTAGCAGTGCCTAATTAATTAATTAGAGTTGACTTACTTTTTCATTCAGAGAGTTATGGAGTTTTGTGAGAGATACTTTGGTTTCTTCTGTCAGTTTACTTAAAATTTTTTTTCTTATCTGTAAGGGAAAAATTCTTTTGGCATTGTTTTTGGTATACAGTGGGTATGATATGAAACAGACAAAAACACCACCCCCTGTATAGTTAGTATTGTAATAGAATGCTAAGTAGAATTTATCTTGCTTTTTGAATTTTAGTTATCAAAGTAGGGATAAGAATATCCTAAAGATATCCCAAAATTAGAGCTAGTCTCCATTATCCAAACAAAACACAAAATATATGCAGTCTTCCTCATCCTAGCCCTCTAGTAACATCAGTGAAAGACTAGAGAGTCACTGACCTTGTGGGAAGTACGGAGTTTGGGGTACAAGGCTACTCACTCTCTTTTCAACTGGGTGGAAAGAAAGTGGTTTTTCTTCCCCAGGGCTGCCTGAGGTGTGGCATAGCTACAGTGGATCTCACATAGACCAGGGCTGCCTGTAGGAAAAGCAATGGGATCTTGTTTTGTGGCTAGCTGCTGTATGACACATGGTGTACGGAACCTTTCAGTATCTTTTGCCACATATATGGATCCTGTGAAGTTTGATAGTATTATAGACTATAGTCAGATCATTCTTTGAATGTGAAAGTTTAGGACGAGGCCTGATGAAATGGCTTGATAGAACGAACTGAAGGGTGTACTGTGCTGAGAAGGGTATGAAGGAAGCCTGCCATATTGGATTTCTTAGAAGTTGGCAAAGGGAAAGGAGACATGAAACTTTCCAGATAGTTGTTCGAAATGAAAGGGGAGGAGGCCAGTATCTTGCAGTGGTAGGAAGACTAAATAACTGCACCTCTGTTTGGGGTTGGGACATGGTCCTTACTATGAAAGACTCAAGTAAAATCAAATAACATCTCAGGAAAACTCATGCCATCTATGTGGTAACAAAATTAGATTGATGTGGTTTCTCCAAGTTCAAAGCCAGTTATAAATATAGTCAGTCACATGAAGATCTCTGACCTCTTTCATTTTCTCTAAATTTCCAACCATAAAGAGTTCCAGGGAGGAGGAAGAAGGGTGTGATCACCTTAGGGGCAGAGCACGCCTTCCTACTTCTAGGTAACTAAGCCATGGCTCTAGTCACACTGCAAGTGGGGAGATGATGAATTTGAGATTCAGTTTGAGATCATAATTTCATTTTTTTGATATTTTATTATTTTTATTTTATGCATATGAATGTATAGTCTGCACGAAAGTAAGTGCACTCATGTTGTGCAATGCCTGCAGAGGTCAGAAGAGTACATCTGGTTCCTCTGGAAACAGATGGTTGTAGGTTCTGGGAATCAAACCTGGGTCCTCTGCAAGAACTCTTAACTGCTGAGCTATTTCTCCAGCCCCAAAATCCTAATTTTACATAAATGAACTTGAGTTTATCTAAATACTGAAGTGAAATACTGCCATCAAAAGAATGAGTGTGAAATTAGATACATTGGACAAATTATTAAAGGAGTTATAAATCAACAGAAAGAGGAGAGACTGATATAGAAATAATTAGGGAAAAAACCCTTACTTAGTATAAAAATAATAATCCACTTTACTTTCAGGAGTTTGGTTATATTTCCATTCCTGCTAAAAATTACAAATGAGCTAAATTATATTTGAATGAAAATCTTTAAATCTTTTTTCCTACAAGAAACTCTTTCCTCTTTTATTTTCTCTGTAAGCTCTTTCAAATGAAAGAAAATAAAAACATGCTCAGACTCAAATTACATCAAGTAGCAAGCAAATCACTAGCATACTTCACTTGTAATGGTGGCAGGGTCCTCTACCGCCATCATTAAATCTGAAGCTAGGAAGTTGAAAATGAGGTTAGTGACATCGGTGCACACTGTCTTCAGCAAGTGCTTGGTAAGAGCAGCCTGTGTATCATCTGGAAAAGAAAGACACTTTATCAAGACTGACTTCATCCCAGAATTAGAAGAATCAACGAGAAAGGCAGCGTTAAGTATACCTGCAAACACTTTCATCCCTTTCTCAAATAATCGGATATTATTGTACAGGTTGGAAACCTCTTCTTGTAAGTCTTTGATTGTGCGTTTTCTGCTAGTTCCAGAAGCAGAAGTTGAAGACAGGAATGCAGAACGTACCACCTCAAGATATGCTTTATTAAGAGGTCTGTGCACAAAACCAAATACAGTTAATTAAAATTATGTAAGCAAGAAGTTTTGCTTATATTGAAATAAAGCTTAAGAAAGGTATCTAAGAAAAAAAATTAATTTGGAAAAGGGTTCATTAAAAAAATTTGTTTGCCAGGCTCAAGAATTATAACGTATAAGGATTATTTTATTTTTCTAAATTTTAAAGTATTCAAAGTTGTCACACTAAAGATGATAAGAATAACAGTCACAAACACTCCACAAATCAAACAGACCTTTAAAATTAATTTGGAGACTAGCAGAATCTAAGTCTTTCCTCATTTTCTGTATTTACAACATAGAATCTCTCAATTTCTAAAGTACTATCAAGATAAGGCATTAAAGCATTAATATTTATGCTTCCATTTTTCAACAGATTCTTTAAAAAATAATGGTGGATAACCAACAGCAACTGTCTCCTATTTTACATGTGAAAATGTTCCGTAATGTATTTATACACAAATATTTTTATTTACATTAATAAAAAAAAATCTCACTACAAAAACTCTACTTTTAAAATAAAAAGTTAGAGGCATTGGGCTCCTGTACTGCCTTTATGGAGGCTCATGCTGGGACTAACCTGAGATGACCAGGTCTGGTTAACAGCAGCCAGGTTATGTAGAAATTCTTTCATTTTCTGCATATAAAGTTAGCTTGGCAAATTCACAAGGTAGAATTATCTAACTAAACTTATGCTTTTTGAGGCCTCTTTATTTTTTCTCCCTAAAAGTAAAACATTGCTTATTTTCTGTCAAACCAAAACAGATTTTTTTCCTTTCCTTGTTATTTTTCATGCTCAGTAAGGGACTACTTAGCAATCAGTCATAGCTAAGGCCTAATGAGGGCAACATCCAAAGATTCTCAGTCTTACTGTCCACACTGTCCAGACCATGAGCCAAACTGAACTGAATTGCCTCTGTAAGCAAATGAATTTGGAATTTTGTGCTTAAATTCCAAGCTTTGAAAAGGTAAACAACAACAAAAATAAAACCCTAAAATGTGTTTTTAAAAGATCTTGGTGAAAATTATACTTCTAACCAAAAAATGGAAAAACACATATTTTATACTTGCTTTATTAAGTATTCAGCAAGTTCAGAAATAAACTCTTCTGGAGCATCTTGCACATGTCTTCTTAAACAATCTTCAATTTCATCTTGGAACATGAAAGTGATCTCTGGCTTTCTCTTTCCTGTAACAGACATATGCAACGGGAAAAAATGGAAACACAAAGCAGCCAAAACCAAACAAGGTGTTAACATGTTTAACAAGATGACAATGCATTCAGCTTAGCCAGAGGCTCATGTTATTTTTATGAAAACAAAACTGCTACAGTCAAATACTAGTATCTAATAAAATTCAGTTTAAAAAGTTTATATGGAAGATTTTCTTTAACTGATCATTCCCTTAAAAATGACTATTTTTAAGACACTAAAAATATGAAAGATGATCTTTTACTTTCATTTAACTTGGGAGATGCAAATAGCAGAATATCAAAACAATCAAGTAGAGAAAAGGTGATCTTTTAGGAAAGGGTAACTTCTTGTCTAACAACAGGCACCGAGCAGAATTTCCTTCTTTATAAAACTGAGTATTTATTAAAATCCAATCACTCTTCAGAATGATTTTCTAATCCGATGAACCACAACTCAAACAGAATTGTCTAAGCTAAAATTTATTTTTTGAAAAGATACAAATGAGGGAAACCCTCATAGTTTATCTTTACCTTTACAAAGGTAATTCTATACTAATGGAAATTACTATGCAGGTAATGCAATGGAGTTAGTTTTCGATTGTGTCTACCAACTTACTTGGAAAAGTCTGGCTAGGAAAGAGAGCTAACAATATTTCCCTTATAAACTGTAAAGTTATACCTTTCATACAAGTGATTATTTCCAGCTAAATTAGATTATTGATTCTACAGGTGAAACCTCAGTAACAAAATAAAATGGCTCAAAACTCAATTTTCAGTATGAATCAACATCTAAACAGTTGAACTCAAGCTTCAGGGTAGACAGCCAAGTTCTATTCTTCTTTTCTGAGATCTGCTCTCTAATCCTGATGTTCACACTAAGCAGTTTGATTTCCTGTTTGCTTCTTGCATGCCATTTACAAGTTATTAGATTATATTTCCTTCCAGTAATCTTTCATACTGACTTGATTCTGTATTTCAGTTGAGAACCTAATTTCACCCTCCATTTCAAAGAGTACAACACAACACTTTTTCAAAAGCACTGAAATTACTTTTTAGGTAGAATGGTTTTACTACTTTTATAGCGCCTCAGTAATCTATGTGCAAAAAAGTATATCACATGCCTCATTTATTTAAGATTACAGGTATTAGAGAAGAATTCTTAACAATTTCACATTACCCTTATCCCCAGTACATCTGAGGAATAGGTAAATTCATAAACATACACAAAAATAAAAAAATTAAACACACATAAGACCATATCAATATTATTTAAAATCAGGGTAGATAAAACGAGTAAGTCTCTATTGCAGACACTTTCCCTTAAGTTATCACTATTTTCTGCACATTATGAACAATAGCCAGTTTGACCTTTTTTAGACTACATTAAAGAAACGCCCAAGAAACTGTGCTATTACAAATTGTAGCACATTACTAGCTACAGACATGACTCAGTATCTGAAACTCCAGGCTTGTAGCTCAGTGCAATGAACTCTGGAAGAAAAATATCAATCTCATATTATCATCATCTGACGTTTGCTGTGTTTTCAGCTGTTGTTGGAGATATGAGGGAAGAGAGTACTATGTGTCATTATCCAACCTTTAACAAAAATGAAAAAATACAACTGGATTCAGAAGAGCAAAATAGGTTATTTCTTGTAGAGTTAACCCTGACAAATACTAAGAAGTCTAAGAAATGAAAGATGCATTTAATTAATTCTCTCTCCTAGATATAAGCAACAAACTTTTAGGCAATGTAAAAGTTAAAGAAGCATAACATCCTCTGGATCAGCTTCCAACATTTATCCTTTACATTTTCAATATCTTCAAGTATTTCTAAGAATTCTTTCAGGGTGAAGGTTTTGGTATTTTCTTGTTTTAAATCTTCTAAGACATTTCCATCCTTTTTGTCACAATGACGTTCTGTGTTTATACCCATAAGCCTTTCCAAAGTTTCTCTGTCTGCAGATCTCCTGAACACAGCAGAGTCAACATTTCCAGACACCATTCCATTACTCAGGCTTATGCTTGATTCCAAATCTTTTTTCGTTAGTTTCGGAGATAGGGTCTCATATAGCTCAGTCTGGCCTCAAACTCACTATGTACCCAAGACTGGCTTTCAACTCCTGATTCTTCTGCCTTCAATCTCTTAAGTGCTGGGATTACAAGTCTCTGTCAGCTAAAGTGCAATTTCCAGTGTTAACACTACTCAGTTCTGTGCTCACTTATGTCTTTGTTGGTCAATTCCCTATTTGAATTATCTGTTTTTGTAAACTGTAACACGGGTTCATCACTAGGAGACAAAGAGGCAACACAGCTATATGTTTTGCTGATTTTGCATGAAGAATAATGAATGTGCAGAGATCAATTCTTGACAAACCTTAATATGGTGACTTTACTGTTACAGATCATGATAGGCATCTGCTACTTATATAATGAATTCTGACCTGAAAAGCTCACAGCAAAGTTTATACTTTGTCTAACTACTCACAGTTAACAAACCAGGGTAATTAGGCTAACTGAAATTTGAGATGGGGTAGTTGGTGGGCTGATATCATTAAACGGTGACAGATGAAATTTGCGCCCAACTGACAATGTACAAAGCAACTACTTTCTATATAAATACATTTCTCACACATCTTAAGAAAAATGTTAAGAAAATCACACATACATAAAGTGAAAAAAGCTACACACCAGTATGAGCTGGCTGAGACTCATCATCACTATCGTCATCTTTTCTTCCTTTCTTCTTGACTTTTTTAATTTTGTATTCTCTGGCATTGCCCCCGCCTCCACCTCGCACACTTCCACTGCCTTCTGGTAGAGATGCCGTTAGTTCGCATTGTATAATTAATTGTTTCTAGAAAATGACGTCACTACATTGCTATATTTAAGCATATTTAATAGAGAAATAAAAGGCACACTAGAAAATTTTAAGTTCTTTTTAAGCTTGAAGTTTTCATATTAAGGTTATAATAATAAGTCAATCAATAAAAATTGTGAAGTCTCTTGAATTTAAGCAACCTTCTGAGACTGCTTGTTCTAGCTGTAGTTTGCAGGCTCCTTAATGTCTTTTTTCGGTAACTTTCTGATCTCTTCTTAGCCAAATCCATTTTCCACCTTTTCTTATCTACCATCAAAAAACAAAACAAAACAAATCCCACAAAACCCTTATGCCGACTCATCTGTTTTCACAGCATCATTTTACCCCCATTAATCTCATGTTTCACATATTTTAATTTACTTCCATTTCATTTTCTTGGCTGAAAAATTTATCTGCATTTGGAGAGATACCTGACTCATCTTCCAGTCATACCGATTATGAATTCGTGAAGTTATAGCAATGCATGAAACATAACAGATGCTTAATAAATGCCTATGAATATTAAATCAGTAACAGAAAATACCACTATCAATCACCCACTGCTTAGCTATAGATTTTAAAAACTTGTAATTATGAGATAAGCTTAAGTACTATAAATAAAGGTGAAAGCATATTAGTGAAGTAGTTGTTTGCTTTTAGATGTCTACATTTAAGATATCTATTCTATAAAACAGACTATTTACTGAAGTTTTCATCATAAAAGATTACTCAGTAATACAAGCTAAATTCATTTTTCTAACTTCTAAGTAGAATTACCTTAGATATTATCATATTTTAGAATTTATTTACTTTCCCCCTTGTTTTTATGATGAAAAAAATGAAAGCCACATGCTGAAAGTGAAATGCCTCTTTAATATTTGATAATAAGTTTCTTACGGGAGGATATTTGTACTTGACATGATTTCACATACTATAATTACTGTCACACAACTCACAACCACTGAGAACAAAGCACCAGATGACCTGTAACTTTTAGAAAGAAATGGTCTAACTATAGAGACTTAAGTCATCAACCAACAAAGGCATATTTATAACTACATCTTTATTTTTATCTATTTAAATTAAAAAAAATTTATATGTACGAGTGGTTTGCCTGAATTTATGTAAATGCACCCACGTTATACAATGCCTGGGTCAGAAAAGGGTGCCGGAACTCCTGCAACTGGAGTCAGGGACAACTGTGAGCCACCATGTGGGTATTGGGAACCAAACTCAGATCCTCTGCAAGGGCAGTCAGTGCTTTTAACCACGTAAGCCATATCTCCAGCCTCCATATAACTGCATCTTTGGATAAAATGATAAAATGAAAGGGATTGCAGTTCCATAGCAGAAACTATGTTTTAACAATACGTTAGATGCATCTGTGTTTAATGAAAAAAACTGTTATCAAAGTTTTTAATCCTGACACAGCACTAAAAATTTGTTTCCCTAAAGTGTAGGCAAAATACACATACTTCTCCAATACAACTTGGTAACAGACCAGTGTTGATTTCCAGTGTGAATTTAAAAAGGAAATTAACATGCAGTTTCAATGGAGGGTCACTCATTCAATGTATCTTCATGGACCTCTTAAAACATGCCATGTGGCACTCTAGGTGCTTGGGGACCAAGGCTTTGAAGTCATGGGAACTTGGCAAATATGAAAATCCAAAGGGAGGACAGGGGACAGGGACAGATGAGAAGGTTAGGGTTTTTATTTTTCACCTACACAAATGAGAATACACAATCAGTGACATTTCTATTTTCATGATTAAAATTTAATTAGCAAAAGATTTAAAAATTTGTTCTGAGTAGCAGTTAAAATTAAAAGTGACTCAAATGAAAGGCCTTTCAAAGGACTTAGTGCAACAAATACTCATCTTATCCCAGCACCTGTTCCAGGGACTGTCACTTTCCCGATGCTTTTATTTTTTAAAATATTTACTATTTTTATCTGTACGAGTGCATTGCCTACATGTATGTAAGGGCACCTGTGTTATGTAATGCCTGCGGTCATAATGGGGCTTCAGATCCCCTGGCACTAGAGTTACTGATGGTTGTTAGTCACCATGTGGGTGCTGGGAATGGAGCCCAGGTCCTCTGCAAGAGCAGTCAGTGCTTTTAACTGCTGAGCCTTCTCTCCTGACCCCAATGTTATGTTTTCAGTTGTTTCTGTCAAGCCATACTGCTGAGGCTGCGTGCATTTCTTTCTATCTCACTTGTGGATCTATAGGTCTGTTTTTGTGCCAGTCCCATGTTATTTTTGCTACTGTACCATCTCTGTAGTAGAGTTAAAATGGAGTACTGTGATCACTTCAGCATTGCTTTATTTTGTTCAGGTTTTAATTGTTTTTATTGGCCCCCTGGGTAAACTATTTGGGTACTTAATGAGAAAAGTTAACAGAGGTGTGAAGAGTCAAAACACATTATATGTGTATGTGGAAATACGCTAATGAAACCCCTTTGTATGATTACCATCTACTTCTAAAAAAACTTATCTTTGAGCCTTATGAGTTTTATTACCTGTTGCTTTCTTCCTGCGCTCATCTTTCTTATCCTTTTTATTTGTGTTAACATTTTCTAATATAGAAATTTGTTTAAGTTCTTCTTCAGTGACTAAATGCACAGGATTATTTTTCATTTCCTAAAATAAAACACAATTTTCAGTAGGCAAAAATATGTAGCACTTCAACAGCATAAAAGTTGTTTATATACTCACACACATCCCAATTATCATTTTGTTTCATTGCTAAGAACTATATAAAACTTGTCTCACAACTGCCATTATAAATGTGTTTCTCTGTAAAAATTACACTCACACTGATTTCCACAGTGGCCGTATTACTATGCACTCTCACCAGCAGAAGAGTTCCCCTTTCTCCATGTCCTCACCAGCATTTGCTGTTTGTTTTTTAGACTGTAAACCATGTTGAGTGGGGTAAGATGAAATCTCAAAGTAGTTTTAATCTGTAGTTCCCTGATGATTAAAGATGTTGAACATTTTAAAAAGTATTTCTCAGCCATTGCATTTCATCTTTGAAGAGCCCCTTGTGGAGCTCCATCTGTTAAATTTGTGTTGTTTGGGTTTCTGACGTTTAGTGTTTGAATTCTTTGTATATTCTAGATAACCCTCTGTTGGAGGTATGACTGGTGAAGATTCTTTTCCTTTCTGTAGGTTGCCTCTTCACTCAAATCATGGTGTTCTCTGCTGTATAGAAACTTTATAATTTGATGAGGACCCATTTGTCAATTATTTGACTTAATGCTTGTACTAATGGAACTGGAAATAATTATCCTGAGGGAGGTAACCCAGATACCAAAAGACAAACATCACACGTTCTCTCTTATAACTGGATGCTAGCTTTGAAATCTTAGATATTATTTCAATTTGAAAATCCAGAGAGGTCAAGAAAGTAATAAATGGACATGGTGTGAAGAGGCTTCCTGGGAAGGGAGGTAAAACGCAGTGATATAAAGGGGTGGGGAGGGGAATGACAGATTAGGAAGGGTAAACTGGGGTGGGGAGAGGCAGGGCAGGGCAGAAGAGCAGGTTCTGGGAGGGATAAGTAACATTAAAGACTCTTAGGAAAAAAAACATGAAAACCTACCAAGATAGAAGCTTCTTTGTTGTTGTTGTTGTTGTTTTGAGACAGGGACTCTAGTCCCATCAGGCCTAAAAGTCATACACAGATTGCTAGGCTCTGCTTCCTGACTGTTGGGTTTAAATGTGTTGTTACCATGCCTAGCTTAGAAGCTTCTTAAAGTATATACATATAGGTTATAAAAAGAGATTAAAAAGAGTTACCTTACAACAGGGGGACACTGCCCCTACTAGATACTATAGTAAAAGCAAAGTAAAAGCCCAATGCCAGAAAGACTCCGTCTTTTGAAGCTGTACTGCAAAACATCATGATAAGACCCTACTGCTGAAGGCATTACATACGTGAGCTGGAGAACAAACAAGGAGAAATCAAACTACTGCTCACTTCAAAGCCTCATTTCTAGTGGCTAGCTTTCATGGTGCTGCAAGGTGATACACATGCTTCCTTAAAATTAATCGTCTGGGGATGGTGCTGCAGGCCTTTAATCCCAGCACTCAGGAGGCAGAGGCAGGAGGATCTCTGTGAGTTCAAGGCCAGCTTGGCCTGCATAGTGAGTTCCAGGACAGCTGGGGCTACAGGAAGACCCTGTCTCAAAAAACCAAAAACCAAACCAAAACAAAACAAAAAATAGAGAGAGAAAATTAGTCACCGACCTTACCTAGCTGTGAATATTGTGAGCTACAACTGCCCTGGCAAGGCATGCCCACCAATGCAATAGTGGCATGAATATTATGGGATTATCCAACCACTTTCTAGTTGGATTTAAGGTCCACTTCATAAGATGGAGCCCATACCTGACAATGATATCAGGCCTAGGAACCTGAGGTTAGACAGGTGACAGACCATAAGGACGAGCGTAATAGTATTATTTTATTAAATATGTTTAGTATTAAATTAACTCCTAATTACTTACTATTGTACCCACAGATTAATCCATTTCTTAACTCTTAGCAGAGAAGCTTCCTCATGCAGCAAATGGAGATTAATATAAAGAACCATAACTAGTCAATGTGTAGAGAATAAGGGGGTGCTGCTTATCCCTGAATAGGACAACTATACCAAATTTGGCTCAGGGATCATTTGGAAGGGGGTGGGGGAGATCGTAAGAGCCAGGGGTGGTGGATAGCCACAGGGATAAATAGTTTTTCAGACAGCTGGGCAGTAACTCATATGAACTCACAGCAATGGTGACAGGATGCACAAGTCCCACATAAGCTTAAACCAGACAAAATTCCAGCAGAGATGTGGGGGAATGTGTAAGAAACTCCAACCCTACCTGAGGAACTACTGGCAACTGATGGCTGCTGGGAGGGGGAAACTCAATCTTGTTTAAGGAGGAGACTCTTGGTAGGCTGACCAAGTTCCAGTGGATGAACTCACAGTACAGGGCATATGGGGACACAAATTTGACTCTATACGTACATGAAACTGGGTGTGGGAGGGCAATAATGAGGGGGGTGAAGATAGGGAGGGGATCTAAATACCATAAAAATATATCGTACAAAATTCAAAAAAATTCAATTAAAATAAGAAAAAAAAAAAACCCAGAGAAAAAGCCACTTGTACTTTTCTTTTTTGAGACTCCTAAATTCAGTGGCACCTGGATGCTTCAAACTACAAAACAGGTATCACCCCCATGATCACATGTGAGTTGCAAACCAAATAAGTCTATTTTTCTTATGGATTAGTTCTTGATAATATCAGCTATTTAAAAGCTATGTTAACAGTTAACAATAACGAACTATTTCCAACTTCAGATATCAGTTCTTTTTCATGAGAAATAGCTTTATAATCTCTAGTGATAAAAATACACTTTGTAGAAAAAATACTATTTTCTTTTTGGTTTCTTACACAAAAATGCTCAAAATATTCATGATTTATTGAATAAGATCACCTTTCTCTAAACCAATTTTTATAGTTAGGAGTACAAGGAAAGTGATTAACTTTTAAGAATAATTGATAATTAGCATATTAATGGACATATGTATGCATGTACACACATACATACACACACACACGCCAATTTCTTTATTTACATCAGTCTTCCAGGGTAGGCATTCTTTTCTTTGAAAGTGAGGTCCATTATTCAAAAATTAAACAGAGCAAGCACTTTTAAATTTGTTTCCTGTTATCAGATCTATTCTTGTCTGCTTTTCATGACAACTGCAAAAAATCATCTCATTTTCATACTTTTAATTGTGAAAAAAAGTTCCCAGAAAAAAGCCACACTTTCAAATGGAATCTTCTGAAAGTCTAAGTAACTGATTAGACCTTCACTGACTGTAGAGTTTGGATGCTGTGGTCCAAAGCCAGATCATCTTGGATCATCGGTAGCTACCTTTGTAGGCATTTATTACCCTCCTCTGTCCATGAACTAAGTGAAAACTAGGGAATTAGTGAGGCTTTGCCAGATTTAGTTAATACATGAAATTTGGAATGTAAAACGGAGCACTAGTTTTCCTTTGGAATGTATTAACTTAGTGGACCACTATTTTCCAACAACCCAAAAGCTTAGTGTCATCAGTTTGCACCTGAAGCCTATAACAAGTTTCATTGCTTCGCATTTCTATTATTTCTGCAAATGTATTTTAAAAATATCTTGATTTACGGTATTTTTTTGTTTTGTTCCTATAAAAACTACATAAAATTGTCACTATGCTGGAACATGGGATTTGGGGTATCTAAATCTCTGCCACCGTACTTGGCTCTAGAATGAACTACCTCTTACCTTCTGGCATCCTATTTTTGTGTCAATATAATGAAATTTCAGAGCGCAGCTAACTACAAATTACATGTTTAATTGGCCTGCACGAATTTATTAACAGTATATTTGAGTATACAGAGATGGTGGTGCTAACTCCAAACAAGAATTAAACAGTTATGAAGACAGAATGGGCAGAAACTCTGCTTCAAAGTTTTAGACAGTAGTTAAAACAGCGCGGTGATTACTTTGTGGACTTCCTCTAATCACAAAGTATGTTCAGTGTATGTACAGGTACTGCTCCTGTGCATTTCAATGTTTTAAAGTTGGATCAATATCCTTTGGTGACTTAAATTTGAAAACTATATAACTTCATTTCTGCGACCTTTATAAAATTAGTTCTCTAACTTCTAACAAGTTCTGATAAAAATGAAGAAAAAAAATGTGTGAGAAATAATGGAAAAGAATAATACACAGCGATGTTCAACATGAAGTGTTTGTTTTGGGTCACACACATTTTTCACAAGACATCAGATGATACTAATGTGAAAGAAAAGACTGTTAGGATCAGCAGATGGAAGGGAATCTGTAATACCTTTTCAGCTTTTTGGTGCATCTGTTCACTGAACAGCTCTGTACAGTCATTTATAAATTTTTCACTGACTACAACTGTGTCACTAAAGACTACAGCAGAAGCCTGCTTGCTGAATGGTCTCATCACCTGTTGAAGCAACATGGAAGCATCTTCAACTGACAAAGAGCTGGGTAGCAGAGGCTAGAAGTATAAAGAAAGTGAACAATATGCATTATAATACAATCTGTTTTTATATACATATATAGATACGCACACATTGTGTGTGTGTGTGTGTGTTTACAAACATGCTCAACCTCACTAGCTCAGTGGCTTTCAGAAGTATATTTATGCTCATAAGTTCCCAAACTGTATTTCTAGTTCATCAGCACTCAAGCTCTGGAATCATATCACCCCTTTCTTTCCTAATTTCACCACTTGCATGCCCAATAAGAACCTCAATTGTGCAAATCACCACCCAAACCTACAAATCCTTCAATTTCTCTCTTACATATCTACAAACAATTCACCAGTAAATCCTACTACCTGTACAATGTTTCTTCTTAGCTCTATCATCTGAATTATTATTTTGAATTGTTATTTGAACTGTCATAAGAAAAAAACTTGTTTTTCTACTGTTATTTCTGACACAGAATAGTTTGTCTACCGTTATTTCTAACACAGAATGGTGCCTACTACACAGACAGTACTTGAAATCTACTGCAAAGATAAATACGCCTTGGGAAGTTTTATCCAAAACAGAACGTTTTCTTTACTATATAAGGACCTTCCATGACTTCCTGACTGAAAAACTAATAAATTGGTCTCCTGTTTATGTTACCATAGTTAAGTGTCTTTTTGACCTAATGAAGGGAAGGTCAACACTGAATACAGAAGTAAAGGGCTTCCAGCCTAAAGCAGCTTATGTTAAGATATTAGCAGAGATTAGCAGATAAGGGATAAATCTAAGTGTCAGGATGCCCAAGGCCAGCACAGTTGTAAATGCTTAGATAAGAAGTTATAATGCTTAGCTTTAACTGTCAGTTTGACACAATCTACAGTCTCCTCAGAAGAGAGTCTAGATGATGGATTGTGTTGATCAAGTTGGTCATGGGCATGTCTATGGGGGACTGTCTTGATTATGTTGACTGATGTGGTAAGACCCAGCCTAAAAGCTGGTGGTTCCATTCCCTGGCTTTGGGCCCTGGATTATATGAAAAAGGAGAAAGTAAAGGCAAGGACTGCAAGCATGCATGCATTTATTTGTTCCTCTCTGTTCCTGACTGCAGATGTAATGACTGTGATTAACTAGCTGCTTCACGTTCTTGTCCCCTTGACTTCCCTGCAATAATGAACTATATCTTGGAACTGTGACCCAAAAAACCCTTTTCTCTTTTGGTTTTGTCAGGGTATTTGCCAAAGCAACCAGACAGGAAACTAAGACAGATGTGAAAAATCTCACCAATTTCTGTAACAGGACAGACATGAGTTCTTATATTATTTTTTTGTTTGTTCTGAAATTTATAGAATTCTGTATTCTAGATGTAAAAGGCCACCCTTACTTCAAAAGCTAAAAACACTTTAAGTATAAAATAATTAAAATTATTTTTGTTGTAACAATGACTGTTAAAATTTACCTTTAAAGTCAAGATTATCCTAATGTATGCTAATTTTTTTAATGGGAGTGTACTAGTAAAATGTCATTTGTCACTGGTTTAAACAAAAATTAAGAGAAAGGCAAAACATACGGAAATATCAACCCATGATCCAGAGCTGATGGCTTCCTCCACTGATGCTTCCACCTGGTCCACAAGCCCTTGACCAACACAAGCTGCTTTCAAAAACAAGAGGTGTGTATTCTTATACCTTTTCTTTATATAGTTTAGAGCATCTGGGATTCCAAGTCTGGATAAAGCATCAAATTCTAGAAGTATATAAGAAAGTTGAATAGAACTGTCAATCACATCTTTCAGAAAAAGCTAAGTTCTACATAAATCTATTATTTGATTGTGAATGTAATAAATATAAAAAGAAATGTATTGTGGCATATTCCCTGGTTATGTTACCAAATTTAAAGATCTTTGTAGAAAAACTAGTTCAAGTGCTCCCTGTATACAAGCTGTGTGATTCCTTCTCTGACCGAGGGGTCAAAGGAAAACACCAGGACTACAGAGAAATAAAATAAGGACTAGGGGGTAAAGAAAAAGCTAATGGTTCCAGTTCTTCAAGAAACAAAACTGGAATTGATTTTTCTTATTATAGTTAAAGGAATGAATTTTATTTTTCAAACTGTCACTATACAACTTAGGATGAAATCATTCTCTAACCTAATTTAAAGCAAAAATGATTTAGCACAGTAAACAGGTATAAACTTACAGACATACAGTTAGGGAGGGCACTGCAGGTTATTGAGAAGATCAATAATATCAAAGTTCTAATCTAAGTTTGTGGTGAAGAAATCAAAAAGGCCATCACATCAGAGATTAAGTTAAAACATAAGCAAAGCCTATCTTAGCCTATGTTTAAGCTATTTATTACAAGTTTCTAATAAAAGTGTGTGATCTGCTATATGGTTTGACTTAGGTTATAGTTCATAAAACTAAGTGGCCATTGTCTTGAAGATTGAATTCAGTCAATCTACTTTATTAAAATGCTGGCAGAATCTCAGAAACACAATTTAGGATAAGTTCAATATTTCTAAGTATTAAATAACTGATAAAAATAAATGTGGCAAAGTCGATAGTTAACAAATATTCCTGAGGATACAACTGAAAAAGCACAACTTCATACAATAATAAGCACAACAAACATATAAAAATATAATTGTTATCTTTTGTCTTTTTTAAATTTTCTTTTTTAATTATTATTTAATATGTATAAGTGTATTGACTGCATGTGTATAAATGCACCTGTGTCATGCAATGCCTCCGGAGGTCAGAAGGTGTTGGATTCCCTGGAACTGGTGTTACAGATGGTTGTTAGCCACCATGTGGGTGCTGGAAATTGAACCTGGGTCCTCTGCAAGAGCAGTCAGTGCTCTTAACCACTGAGCCATCTCTCCAGCTCTTTTTTTGTTCTTTTTGAGACAGGGTCTCCCTGTAGCCCCAACTGGCCTAGAACTCATTGTATAGGCCAGGCTGGCCTTGAACTCACAGAGATCTGCCTGCCTCTGCCTCCTGAGTGCTGAGATTAAAGATGTGCACTGCCATGCCTGGCAAATATAATTATTTTTATGACTTAAAAAATACTTGAAGTTTATATCATCTTAATACAAATGGAAAGGTTAAAAAAAAACACTATCTTTTGATGTTAAAAAATAAAAAAGGTTTATTTAATTATGTGCATGTATGACTATCTGAGTGCAAGTACCTATGGAGACCAGAGGCACTGGATCCCTCTGGAGCTGGAGTTAGTCAGTTTAGCCACCTGACATGGGTGCTCCAATTTGAACCTGGATCCTCTGCAGAGCAGTATACACTCTTAACAGCTGCGTCATTTCTCTAGCTCTATTCTGGCATTCGTGTACTTTAGCTGTAGTCTGTAACTATGGAATTAACTTTAGTTGTTAGACCTACAGAAATGAATGTGAAGACTTTTCCAGTCAAAGGGAACCACAGCAATCTAGTTGGTCATAGCAAAATGCATGTGAATCCAGAGCACAATTCTAAGAATGTTTCAGTGTTAGGAAGAAATTTTAGTTTCAAAGAAAAGAAAAATTAGTTACCTAGGTAGCCATTCTGCCTGAAAAAGGAATCGACCCAAGAACTTTGTGTCCTGGAATAAATGTCAGGGACAAACACGGCTTTATCCTGTCTCCCGCCAACCACAGTGCCTCGTAAGCGTCCACTATTAACAAGTTCTTCAAGCACAGCTTAAACAAACGCACATAATGGAAATAGATCAGAACAAGTACAAATCCTAAAAGTACTTTATTGTTTAGTTTTTCTTTTATGATTTTAAAACAATGAATTAAAAAATTTAAACAGCATAAATGAACAAAAAGTTTCTAACATTTATGAGACTACTTAGGTTATAAATTCAGGGCAACTTCAGAAAGTAGCTAAAGGTGTTGAACTTGTAACTCAAAGCAGACAGTATTAACATATTGAATAATTCTAAACAAAAACCAACATGCTAGTCATAAAACCAGAAAGCGGAACCTGGGAGGGAAGGAGACACTCTTCAGGGAGCGGGAGAGGAAAAAGAGGGGGGATGGAATACATGTGATATGAAAGCGAAGTGTTGGGGGGATGATTTGGGGGAGGAACGGGAATAAGTAAAGCCATTACTTCATATTTCAAGTTAAAAATTAATTTAAAAAGTTATCATTTATTTCATAACTTGATGTAAAGGGATGACCAAAGACTACATTTAATCACTAATGTTACACATATAATTTTCTAATATTTAGAAAAATCAAAACACTGGGCACATGAACCATGTGAAATAAAGCCACAGACCATTTTTCATTGTTACTATGTTTCTGTTTCGCCTGAAGCAATGCATCAACCATTCTTATTGGAGGTCGAATGGCCCAGTTCAGAGGATGGAATCTAATGCTTGAGTGCTCAAGTGCAAGCCTCAATTCTGCCATCTGCTAGTTGCAATATATCAGGTAAGTCATTTCCCTCACGTCTCTACTTCCTTATCTGTGAAATGGGGACGGTAACAATATTATCTCAAATACTACTGCTATAGTCATGTAAAGTGCTTTCATTAGTAGCTGAAATATCAACACATATTAGCTAAAAATATCAATATTATCATTACCATGATAAGTCTGGGGCCAATATGAAAACTGCATATCCTGCCATTAAAATAAACTTATGTTTTTTTTATTTAAAACATAAAAGTTAACACAATATTTAGTCATTTGAAGTACCAGAATTCCCTAAATAAGACATAGCGAATAGAAAAAGAAAAAGCTGTTCCTAAGAGTACAAGAGCAAGTACGATCAAAGGATGGGCAGCACAAAGAAAAGTTTATAAAAATTAGCCTTTAAGAAAGAAAAATTAATGTATGTATGAATAATGTATGTCAGAATTTCAAGGCTGAGCAAATTAGAATATATCAGAAAAGTACATATTTCTCAATAGATCGTTTTAGTTTGACTATACAGAAATCCACTCCAGGGTCGGAGTGATGGCTCAGTGGTTAAGAGCACTGGCTGTATTGGGGAGGACAGGGGTCCGAATTCTAGCATGGAGGCTAACAACTGTCTATAACTCCAGTTTCAGAGAATCTGATGCCCTCTTCTGGTCTCTTTGGGCACTGTATGACACAGGTACACTTATATACATTCAGGCAATACAATCATACACATAAAATCATTTAGAAATATACTATGACTAAAAATTAATTTTTAGTTTTATAAATTGAATTTGTTAATTTTTATATTTACAAAAATAACTGAGTTGAAAGATTAAGTAATTACTTTAAAAAAGATACTGCCTTTTCTCTGGTGTTCATTTTAGGCACCTCTGTAAAAAATTCAGGTAACTGTAGCTATAAGAACTTGTATCTGGATCCTCACTTCTAGTCTATCAATCTATGCATCTGTTTTTGTGCCAGCACTGTGCCGTTTTTATTACTGTGGCTCTATGCTATGAATCAGGTGTGGTGATACCCCCTGCAGTGTTCTTTTTGTTCAACATTGCTTTGGTTATCCTTGGTCCCTTTGTGCCTCCACATAGACCTTAGCAGTGTTTTTCTATGTTTCAAATGAATTTAAACAAGACCATTTAAAGATGATGTTAGCTTGTTGGAGAGCTAAGAAAAAGTTTAGCTATATTTTTATTGCTACATCATTTTTTTTTCTTTTTTGAAACAGGGTCTCACTGTTTTCCAAACCCAGGGTGGTCTTGATCTCAAGAACCTCCTGCTACAGGCTTCTGAGTGCTGGATGTAGCACTCATAGATGTATCACATGTAGCCCTCATTGCTATATATTTGGTAAAAATTTTATTAGAGAAACATGATTTACTTTGAGGGTGAAATAGTAAGCCAAGCAAGGGGGCAGTGGCCTGGGATTCAAGGACTTGGGAGGTAGAAGCAGGAGAATTATACATTCCAGACCATCACTGGTTATATAAGAACCAGTGACTAAAACAAAAAAGTAGTAAAAAGCCATGAGAAACAAAGTAAAATGTATTCTTAACCCTACCACTTTGAATCTATATAAACGCCCAACAACCTTTGTGTATAGACACTTTCATTTTATTGGTAAATTGTGTCTTTCTTAATTCCACACTTCTACAGGTAGTCAATACTAAATGATTGGTAGATACACCAGATAGCTATTAATATAAATATAAAATCTCTTAAACTGAACCTTCTTAAACAGGAAATATTTTAAGATTAAAAGTGTAAAAAACATAGTTCTCTTATTTTGTATTAGCAATTTATTAAGCTGTGTTTTATTTTGGATGTTCAGTGTCTTCCAGAGGCCCATGGATTACTATGATTGGATGCTGGTGGAAGTTACTGGGAAGTCCTTGAGTCACTAAGGGTGTGTGCTTGAGAGAACTGTGGGAATCCCATCTCCTCCCTCTTACTTTTCTCTGGACTCCTAATACAAACAGTGTCATCCAGCAATGCCCACCAGGGGTTCAAAGAAGTAACTCCTCAGACACTTGAACTGGAACCTCCAAAACATGAAAGCAGACTTTCTCTGTGTTCTTTTGTATCCATCACCGGGTGTTCAAATTCAGGAAACACTCTACTACTGGGCTATACCCCAACCAAAGAGATACAGGATTTAAATAAAACTCACAGTAAAGGAGCTCCTCCTGAAATCCATATTTTGAAATCAAAGAATTCACTGCTGTTGGCCTTTATGGGAAATTTAAAAAAACAACTGAAATTAATTCACTATAGAATTACATGTGAATTTTAAAGAATTAAAAAAAACCATCAGTTTATTTAAGAGAAACAAATGATAGTAAAATTACACCAAATTTTAAATCTTTGATCAGAATTATGCTACCAAAGTTCCAGGGAAATGAGTGTGTCTTTGTAATCCCAGATCAATTCATATTCTCATCCCACCAAGCTTCCCCTTTCCCCGATGCTTGACTCTGTCTTGCCTATTACTGTGTACCACAATGAAATCCAAGGATGCTCAAGGGTCTTATTTAAAACGGGGTATTTCCTTACAGGCTGTATATTTCATTCCTAGACTATTCATATTTTCTAATACAATGTTACCTGTACATGCTTAGTACAGATGTAGATTTTTTTTCCCCGAGTATTTTCAGTACACGGTTGAATCCATTCATGATGTAGAACTCACAAATATGGAAGACTGGCTGTATTTGTTTTTCGACATTGCATTTTCCCTGTCTGAGAGGTTCGTTCTTCACTTAGAAATATTAAAATGAATGTTACATGATTTCCTTTTTGAAGAGAAATAAGATCAAATGCGTACTGAAAGGTGTTTGGAATATTTATAGATTAAGGTAGTTGACAAGGAGAGATCAATTAAAATGCTTAAAAAATTTTTTTTTACTGTCCATATTTTCTGCAATGATATTTTTAAGACATTTTAATGGGTTATAATTTACATGTAATAACATCCACTCAATTTCAGGTGTACAACTCCATGATCTTAATCTTAATCAATTTACAGACTTGTATAACCATAACAATACAGTTTTACAACATTTTCATTACCTGGTGGTGTTTGCAACTAATCACTGCTGCTACCCCTAGACCAAGACAGTCATCTGTTTTCTAAATCTATAAATTTGCCTTTCCTGATATACAGTGTAGAGGGGATCAATGGGTCTCATCTGTTTTTGACATTCATCTATGATGAAACACGCACGAAGCAGTTCATTTCTGAACAGCATTCTATTAGACAGATATACCACATTTTGTTTATGCATCTATCAGTTGATAAGACATTTAACGTGTTTCTAGTTGACACTATTATGAATGAATGTCTTGTATTCATGTCATTGTGTGTTCATTGTGTGTGTGTGTGTGTGTATGTTAGGAGAATGGGGTCCTGGGATTCATCCCAGGGCCTTGTACATGTAAAGGTGGCACTCTCCTACTACCACTAAGCGACATCCCCAGCCGTGAACATAGGCTTTAGGTAGCTTAGTATGTTCTTAAGTATATTTCTGTGTGAGTATGTCTATGTGTATATGTACATGCATGTATATGGTGTATACATGTGTGTTTGGTCCTATAAGCCTATGTGTGAGTCTGTGGCAGCCAGAGGATGATGGGTGCCTTCCTCTATTGAGCTCTCCTTTTTTGAGGCAGGGTCTCATTGAATCTGTAGCTCCTTGTTTAGTGGAATGGCTGGCCACCAAGCCCCTAGGATCTGTGTCCCCGTCCCCCAGTACTGGGGTCACAGATATGTGCCTCCAGGCCTGAATTTTAAGTGTGTACTGAGGATACAAACAGGTCCTTGCTCTTGCACAGCAAGCACCTCACTCACTGAGCCATCTCTCCAGTCCTCTATTTCTTTTTTACTACTCAGTTTTAAAAAATACAGCTTTGATCTATTTACTTTAAGCCAGTGTCCTTGATACCGAGAAAAATCTATTTCCATTTTTATACGTATTAGAAAATTTAAGTAATTTCAAATTTTAAATTCCTGATTATTCAGAATGCTATACTTTTTCTTTTTTTAAACCTGTATGAAATTTGGTAAAAACAGGAATATTTATTTAAAAATAAATTGAATTATCTAAAACTTCTATATTTGGAAAGATTTGACCAAATTTCTTAATAAAATTTTACACGGATCAATTTATTTGATTGAATTGTCTGACCCAAAATTTTCAGCCAAAATTATGTATAATTCCCAAATTAATTAGGCCCAGGTACTCCGTAAATTGCTCTTATCTATGTTTACATTATAGTAATTATTAGAACCTTCTTTTGTGTGTATTTTCTGTTTCTACAGAAACATAAAAAATAGAGGGTTCCCTTGGGTGTGGTGGCACATTCCTTTAGTCCTAGCACTTGGGAGGCAGAGGCAATTGGATCTGTGTGAGTTCAAGGCCAGCCTGGTCTACATGGCGAGTTCCAGGTCAGCTGGAGCTACAGGGAGACCCTATCTCAAAAATACCAAAAATAGAGGGTTCCTTAAAGGTCTTTATCTTAGAACTTCTAGGTATAACTTACTGTGAATGTACAAAATTCCCAGGTTTTTGGATTGTCTGTGGAAGCTCTGCTTGAATGTGTATTTTAGTTTGGAATAACAGAATGGAGTACAGTGTATTGGCTGCTTCCAATTCTTTTGGGCTATCTATAACAACAATCAGTACAG